AATGTAGCAAGTAATGTAACAAATTACCTCCTCCTGCAAGTAAGAAAGTAATGTTCTACATTACTTTTTTTGTTAAGTATTGTGTAATAGTTGATTTTTCTTGAGTAATGACCCAAACACTGGTGCTGACAGCGTTTTTCTAGTCCAATCATTTTCTTCCAAACCTTTTATAAGCCAATCAGACTTTGTTTGGTGTGTTTTAAAATCTCAGTTCTCTTCTGCCATTCATTCATCCAGCCTGTCTCATCACCATATCCACCTCCGACTGATCATTCAGAGGCGCATCCATGTCTCCATCTTCACCTTCACCTCCACTGGCATCTAGAATCCATGGGGATCCTGCCCTTATGCCTATCATTGCTGGGACCTCATTCTACTATGATGGTTCATCAGAATCTAATCGCCAAATAATTATTAATCCAATTCTGTATCTCATGTAAATTCTGTAAATCATGTTCAGTTCTTCCAAGTGATCTCTAGTTAATAAACTGCTGTAGGATTTTTACGATTTGGAAGCACGATGTGCTGCCATCTACATTACGCCAGACATCAGAACTTTGCTAGCATTTGTGTTGTGTACAAGGATGAGAAATGAGCCATAATGTTGGAAGAAATATCATTGTTACCATAATGATAATATGGTAATGTTATAATGTTATTTGTGCATTGTACTCATTTTATAGTCATTCATTTTACACTGAGATCAAGCTCCCTCTTACTGCAAATGAATAACAACCTGTTAGTACCTCAAACTGTCTCTTGTTAGAAAGCTTGTGTTTTTTTTACTGTTCTGCAACAAAAAAGATTTCAGTACCTGTTTATCTGCATGTGTTTTGGTGATGGCATTAGCGAGGGCGTTGGTGCTCAGGCCTCCTTTCACATTGATGAAACTGATGCCAGCTTCCTCGTGAATGTACACATCCACCTGGTAATAAATACAATATAATAAAAATAAAAGATCTCATCTTGTGTGATGTTATCTCAGCATTTTTTCACTAATAGATACCAATAAGACAATCACCTTGAAGTCACTGACAGGCTGTGTGGGTTGAGCATGAATTTGCAGCTCGTACTTGCCATGTGTGCGTTTCATTAATTCCTCATATGTGAGTTCAAAAGTGACCTTTTTGTGAGCAGCCACAGTTACAGAGGTCTTAAATTCCTCCAGTGTCCTCCCTACAGAACTAAAGCAGAAAAAAATGATCTCACTAAATTGTAATTATGGCTGTAGTTTGAACCTGAGCAGAGAATAAGGTTAACTCTAAAGATATTTTCCTATTCGCATTAACATTATTTTAGAGAAATGAAGAAAGAAGAGAAAACACAAGAACAGACCAAACTAATTTTGAATGACAAAAATGTTTTCTTTTTCTTCTTCTTTATCCAAAGGAACACTCAGTGTATTTGTACAATACCTATCATTTAATCATTTAGTTAATACCTGACAAGTCCAGCACTTTCACCACGGGACACAGCTTCAGTGTACTGCTGCTGAGCTTGCTCCTTAGCTTTTACAACACCATCATAAACCTGGCCATCAATAAACCTGAAGAGGATCAAGAAAAGCCCTGGTGTAAATGCACATACTACTGAGTATCCTGTCATTTATTCTTCACTGTAGAATTCTTTATTTGTAAATATCTCTGGATGGTTACACATTATTTTAATTTCACACACATTCGAAATTTACTGATGAAGGCATTCTTGGGAATCTGAACATGAAATTCAATTTCCTTTGACTCATCCATACGATTGGCCACACGACTTGTGATGACAGTGGTGGCATAACGACTGGTCACTGTGGAGTTGATGTGAAAGCTGTAGATGTCCCAGTCATCCTGAGCAAACACAGGAGGCACATTTCACCGAAAAAATAATGCTTAACTGAGCTTAGCAGCTGACCAAAGGTCAAATTTAGCAGAAAAATTATTTGTTTTTGGATGATATCATCGCCATAAGGGAAATAGATACACATCCACACCATAAATGTGACTGATTATGTGCTAAAAAAAACATCAACACATGGAAATAAATGAATCAATAGAATCACCAGCTGACACACTGCAGCTGCTGGGTGCAATAAATTATCAAATATTTATTGCAACCTGATAAATGCCAACAGTTCACCAGGATGCAGTAAATACATGGAAACAGAGTTTTACACTGTGCTATGTGTTGATTTTTGTTTTGTTTTTGTTTTTGTGGATGATGTGGAATCTCAATGGTCTAAATACAGAAATTTTAATTTTTTTCATTTAGTGTTTATGGGATATACCAAAAGTTAATTCACTTTACATTTATTCCCTGAATACTTTTTATGCATACAGTTTATTCTCAAGGTCTTTCCAAATCATGAAAACACATATATAAGAATAAATCAATTAATGGGACATAAATCGCTTAACCTAGCACTAACCATCACTGTTATTAAATGTATATCTTTAAACATTAAAATGAGCTAATAGACTACTTTATACTCTGACCCTAGACAAAGGATAAAGTAAACACATTCAGGATTTCTTCACTTAAGGTGTCATTACACTATCTTCTATCTGTTACTTAAAGGCTTAAGCTTATTTCAGTCCTTATGTTAAATTATTATCATGTAATAGGACCAACATGAAGTAACCCTGGAGGAAGAAGTCAAAAGGACCTTGACCCTGCAAAGTTCAGTGTACTGAAAGACGCCAAGAGAGATAAAAATCAATGGACCTCATAAATCTCTTGTTATCTGTGAAGTATAAATAGCACTTTTTAAGAATTTTGTTACATTGAAATGCTGTTGCTGCCATTTATGTGTACTGAACTTACCTTGTTTGGCAGTGTGGAAGCCAAAGCCAGCAGGAATATGATGAAGGTGATTTGCACCACAGTTCTCCCCATGATGCCTCCAACCAAAATGCCAGCAAAACAGCCAAAACACTCTTTTGAACTCAAACAAGGACAGCGTTATTGTGTACCTATTTTTTCAAACTCTGTTTTCCCTATCTCCAGTTTCAACAACTGTCTGTGACAAAAACACCCACTCACATAAGTAAATCAGTAATTTACCAGAAATCCAGCAGTTTCTGTGGGAGTTTATGTTTACATTGAGGGTCAAACCTTTGCACTTTACCAGGACTTTGGTCCCACGGCTGTCTTTTCATTAGTGACAGGAAATTCTGTTTCCTGTCTTGGCAATAATTTGTCTTTCCATTACTAGTGACTGTAACTAATAATGTTTTGTTTAGGGCAAAAAAATATTTATGACTTAAAGTATGTAGTTGAGACTGTGCCATTCTGAAACCATCTGAAAGGTGCTGGGAAAAACAGCCTTGAAGGTTTCATTGCAAGCATTAGATAAGGTTTTCATCACTGGCACGAATATCATGGTTATTTGGGGCTTTTAATGATTTATTTGAAAAGTTCTTTTTCCAAGGTTGAATACAGCATTCATCTTTAACGACTTTAAAAAGCATGAATTGGATTCTTTTTTAAATTTATTTTAAATTTTATCTAATCCATACAGTGTCAAATCTATACATACACCATCATTAATATTTGGTTTAAAGTTGTTTCGCAAATTGAACCCAAGCCAAATGTTTTTGGTAGCGATTAACAAGCTTCTGGCATAATTTGTCTGGATATTTAACCACTCTTCTTGGCATAATTGGCATAACTGAGTTCACTTAAATTAGTTTCTTTGCATAGAGCCAGCTTTTAAGTGTTGTCCACATAGGATTAAGGCTGAAGCTTTGGCCATTGCAGATGTTTGCTTCCTTTATCCAAAACTGTAATTGGCGTGTGCTTCAGATTAGCATTCTGTTGGAACACGCAGCTGTGTCCAAATCACCTCCAAGTCAACCCCCCTGCTCCTGCTTCATTATTTCATCCACCTTGTGCAGTGTTGCAGTACCACTAGCAACAAAACAGCTCCAGACCACGACACTACCACCACCATGCTTCACTGCGGGTACACAGTTTTCAGGTTTCTTAGCCTCACCTTTACTCCTCCAAACATACCTCTTGTTATTGTGGCCAAGTAGCTCAATCTTTTCTCCATCTGTCCAAAACATTTTTTCTAGATGCCAGTTTGCTTGCCCATGTGGGCAGCTGCAGATTTCAATCAATATTAAATCTGTGGAATTTGGGTTTCTTTCTTGGTCAACATGTCTTGGTCGATGATGAAACCAGTTGATAGCGTACTTGAACATCGGTAGATCCAGTGTTGTTCCTGAACATCACTAATTTCCTCACATCTGAGGGTGGCTGCTGGCCTTCTTTAAGACCTTGGCAATGTGGTGACACATCCAAATGACTTGTGTATATACACAACTGTTTAAACTAACAATCTTGGAATCTCCAGCTATTTAGAAATGCTTCCAAGACACCTTGACAATTTGTGTAATTCTGGAGTTCTACTTTTTAGATTTCCTTGGACAATAATAATGGATTGCATTTATATAGCGCTTTTTGGGGCCCTCAAAGCGCTTTACAATTCCACTATTCATTCACACACTGGTGGAGGCAAGCTACAGTTGTAGCCACAGCTGCCTTGGGGCAGACTGACAGAGGCGGTAGGTGAAGTGTCTTGCTCAAGGACACAACGACTGAGACTGTCCGAGCCGGGGCTCAAACCGGCAACCTTCCGGTTACAAGACGAACGGCCAACTCTTTGAGCCACGATCAAGATCAGGATGATCTTCAAACTGCAGTGTCAAGTGTATTATGCCTGACGGAAAGATACTAATACACAAAAACTTTAAGTAAACACCTCAGAAATCACCTGTTATCAGTGAAATACAAATACCAGTGGTGAAATGTGGATTTTAACATAGATTTTAGCCTGTTTGGTGAAATATAGAGTGATAACTTTCCCAGAACTGCATTTGCAAAACTGTCTTTTCATTTGTAATAAGCAATACTGTTTTGGCGAATTAGAGTGGAGAAGAGTGAGAGACCCAGAGACAATTTGGCTTGTGACTACTAATGAAAGCAGTATGTGACTAATATTGTGTGGTGTCAAGCAAAAATGAATTTATTTATGTCTTCAAGTATGTACAGCTTTTTTTTTTAGAAGGTATCAATCTGACAAGGTCAGGAAACTGCTGGGAAAACAGGTGATATAGCAGGCAAAAGCAATCATACATCTAGCTGTCATTGCAAGCATTAGATTTAAAGACAGAAGTTACAGTGGAAAGCACAAAGAAAACTACTGCATAGGAGATTAAAAAAAATTATCTAGGTCATTATTAAAGATCTACCTTATAGACAAATAATCCATTTTAAATTACTCTCTTAATGTGCAAAAGTGAAACAATTTTAAAGGGTCATGCCAATGATTTTACATTTAAGGTTCTGTTTATGATGTGTTATACTCAGTCTGCGTAATGTGTTTTGTGAATTTGAAAATAATTTTTTTAAAGGTTGAAAGATAACAACCCTGATGATGTAAAGATGCTAGTGTGTTGCATTATGGGAAATTTAGCGTCCTGTAATTCTGCAAATATGGAAGATTTCTGTTTTGGTTCCCCAAAAGTGTTTATCGTGCCTTTACAGAACTGCTTGGCTTACCATACTGAAACAAGGGACCACATTTATAAAAGCAAGTGTTTTCTTAAGATGACTGTGCCATTTGCACTCAAAAGTACACAAAATGACTTATGCAACCCCAGAACTCTTGGAAGGGAGTAAATGATTTATGCAAGAGATGTATTAAAGTATCGTTTTTGACTAAAATAGTGAAAGCACTATATTTTTTGGAAATCCTTGAATCATTTTAGCCTTAATACATATAAGCATGAGCTAAAAGGCCAGTATCTAATAAATACAATTTTGAAAACCTATGCCTATTACGCAAACATCAAACAGTTGTGGCTTCTCGGTAATTCACATTCGTCATGTGCCCCCCTAATATTATCACATCAACAGCATTTATCAAACGACAACCATCCACGCAGTAATCTCTTAAAAACCACAAGGCAACAATATGTAAAGCTACAGATTGCATTAGTAGAGGTATGGGATGATTATGATTTTGACTCGTGTGTTGAGTCCTTCAGCCCTCCTTATGTATGATTTCAATTACTTTCTCTGAACAACATCCACTCTAAACACAGAACACCACTCAGTGGGGATTCAGAGAACATCCGTGTGGTCATGCAGGCTGCTGTGCAGGTGCTAAAGCAATCCCGCAAGAACATAACTTCAGTGAACAAGGAAACTTACAACAAGTATATGCTAGCCTAATTCAGCTTTGGATATTCATTAATCTTTTTACAATCTCTGATATTTAATGTACTGCAACACCGGATTGTAGTGTTTAGCTGTGTTTTGTTGCTAAATTAAACATGTTTTAATCCACATTCATTATTCAAATCACATAATTTACCTGTGAAGGTGAAAGCTTATATAGAATATCTAGAGTATGCTTTGAATCTAAAAGCTTTTCTTCAAAAAACGGAAACTGCATTTCAAGGCACTCTCACAGGTGTTTTTTTCCCACCTGAAGATAAAGTTCAAGTTCATTCAAATCTCTTAAGGATATTTCAAGCGCTTGTGCTGGAAGCATTTCATCGATGAAGAATGAAACCTATCCTTGGACTGAGAGAGAGTAAAGCGACTGGCCTTAGTGACCAGGATGTCAAGTCTTCACAGTGATGGCATGATGGTGGCAAATAAGGTGTTGCATTAAGACACATAACTGCAGCACCAACCTACAGATTATCTAATGGTAACTGTACAAACACAGGAGCTATTTACAGACTGACGATAATTCATATATACACTCGGCAGCTTATATATATATGAGTGAGATGAGCAACACAAACATCAGCTGTTTAAGTGAAAACACAATATGAATGAGAAATACAGTATGTACATTCAATGCACATACAGAAAAAAATGAAAACGAAATCTGCACTTTAATGCACGATTCAGCTAATTACAAGTGGACTGCACTCAAGGATTATGCATTGTAATACGGACATGAGGTATGTTGATGCAAAATGAAACAAATAACAAAAAGACTAAGGATGAGTATGTACATATGATTACATACGTGCTGGTTATATATATTTACACTATTATGTACAGATTGACTAGAACTATAATGAGATATATTTTTGGTAACGGAGTTGGAAGACACAATGCTACAGAGATTAGAGAGTCCTCGCCTTGGGGTCAGTTGGCTGATATGATGGTGCTGGAATGGAGCTGTGGGTATCCTGAGCTGAGGCCACAGCAGGAAAGGCAAAGACTCCTGAAGGAAGGGGAAAGAAAAACCCAGGCCACTGGCTAATAGAGAGAGGTGAGGGCAAGGCCCTGAATGGAGCAGGAGAGTGATGCTGATAAGAGGGATGTGCCCCCGCCGGCGGGGTGGCGATCATTGTTGACCCAGGGGCATCAGGCCAGGACAGTGGCAGACTACAGGCCTCTGGTCCTGAAGCTGTCCATGGCGATAACTAAAAGGGTTACATAGTTAAAAGTAAATAGTAAACATAGCACTTTTGCATATTAAAACAATAATAGCTACACTAACATTGTTTATAGACATGCAGGATACAGTACTGTAATACTAGCATGGCAATAACCTCTAGTAATGTTAATGAATGCCCCAGCATGCATTTGGAAATGAAATACAATAATCAAGTCAGAGTGCAAGTCATGATAAAATGAAAGCGTATTACTGTATTCTGTAATGAACTCTTCTAATTAATGAGTCCCTACAACATTAAGGCATTTTGAAGTTATAGCCATTAGAGTAGTTTTATACACTTCAGGCCTCATGATCTAAACACTGTATATTTGCAATATCTCTTTTATAGAATAGATAATAACCATAGCACTCACATCTGAAGCCCTAGCAAGCTGTTCACTTGTTTGAAGTGGATCCTGATCCCAAAGCTGGGGTCGAGTTATACTCAAAGAGTTAGTGCGAGGCCGGTGGGTGACAATCAGAACCTCCTGGGCCCAGTCATCCATTAGTCGTTGTAAGTCTTCAGGCAGGTTGCTATCATGGGCACTCGTAGATGTGCTACTGTATGTGCCTGTTTTGTTGTTGCTGTTATTGGCTTGAGCTTGGGCCAATCCTATCACCGGCTGATGTGGAGGAGGTGTGACACCCCCAGGCAGCTGCTGTGACTGATTGGAAGCCCCTGCTGAAGCTCCAGACCCTAAAAAAGACACACACACACATATAAACACCTTAATACCCTGATTACAACATGAAACAAACAACTTGACTTACAGAAAAACAAATTCTTAATGAGACTGTAATTTTACATACTGCTACCACGCTCTTTACCAAGACAAAGTCGCTTCAGTGTTGCCCCTACAGAACAAAAAAAGATTAATGCAAATCGCTGCTTTCATCAGCAGGTTATAATGGTCAATAACGGGGAGCGGTGCAAAACAAAGCTACCGAGCACTGCAAAACAAGGGAATAAAATCACACTAACAAATGGATAAACAAGGCAATCATTTCCCTTAAATGAGACAATCCATATAGTTAGCAAATCATGCAGATGACCCATGTTTAAGGCATTACAAAGTGCAGGATATCAGAGTGACACAGATAACAAACAGGTAATACAGGGTTAGAAAGAAGCATGACGAGAAAATCTATTGTAGTTTGGGATGCATGAGACATGCAAGAGTCTATTTCCTAGGAATACAAAGTTGAGTGCTTATTGCACACAGACAGAGAGCAAAAGAATTAGTGAGACACGTGAAACGTGAGGTAAAACTCAATACTTATAAAAATAAGTTGAATAATAAATAAATAAAAACATAAATAAACATGACTGATAGCTATTGGGTAAAATTCTCAGCTTCTCTTTCAGGGAATTTGTGTAAACTGCTGAATAAAATAAAATCATCTCTGAAATGAAATAATACAATAAAATACCAACTAATAACAATGAGGCAGAGAAAAAAATAGCACATAAAAAACCCTGTGAACTAAAAGGAGTTTTACTGAAAATATGGAAACCAGAAAATATGAAGCTATGCGGGAAGAGAAGAGATACAAACAGATAGATAAAGACACAGGCCCACTGAGAAATCTAGCTCGTGGCTTGCTACTCGATTTATAGGTCACTCTCTCAGATGGTTGAGGGTAATTAGACCAGCCTGTAGAGGAGCATAATCAAGGGGAAAAGACAACAGGGTAAGAAGAATAAACACTCCATTGCCAAAATTATTAAACAAAGCAACAACACAAATAATGGTTTTATTAATACTGTTGAATCAGGGTGTGTGGTACCTTGCCCCGGTGGCACTTGTGTGCCAGTTCCATCTCCGTGTAGTCCAGCATAAATGTTATCAGAAGATAAAGAGCCTTTAAGGGAGCAGGGCTGCTGAGTCTGCACAGGCTCCGAGGTTGAGCTGGGAAGGTGGCTGGTGCATGACCGGGCCCTGCTGTGAGTGGGGAAAGACCCTTTAGCTGGAGACCCATTTAAACTAACTGTGTTGTCACCCGTACCTGCAGCAGCACCTAAAGACACACAAATGCAAGAGGATAACATCGATAAATAGTCTTTCAGTACATATTCTTAACTTTTAGTACTTTCTCCAAAGCCACTCACTGGATCTGCTAGAGTCACCAGTTTTGGTTGTGACATTTCTAAACTGTTGAACCAGAGGGCTAAGAAGTTTGCCTGGCTTCAGCCTGTGCTTGCTGGACCTCTTTCTACGGCTGGCATGTGGTGCAGCAACTCCCAGGCCAGGAGGAGGAACTTTACCAAGTCTTCGATACAGGAGCTCAACTTCCCCTCGCTGATGGGCCTGAAGCTCAGAGATTTCCTTCAGATGTCTGAGGAAACCCAGGAGAAAAAAATAATAATGACTTACAAGCTAAATGACAAAATATCTTCATATGTAAACATGCTGCATGACAGAAAGCAAACCACAAGCGATGCTTACTTCTCCCTGAGTCTCTGTAGTTCTCTCTTTATGTCTGAATCCTCCATCTCGGAGTCATTATCGCTGCTGCCATAGGCAGAGCCGTGCACCCCACCATGCCTGCTCGGTGAGTCAGAGCTCTGCACGCTGCTGCTGCGACCAGAACGACGGAGAAAGGCCACTGCCCTTTTCATGAGGTCACTTCCTCTGCGCTCAGAGCGGGAGTGTTGCAACGGGGTGGCAGGAGTCAGCTTTGCAGGGCTGCTCTCTGCCCCTGAATCTGAGGAGAGGAAGCGAGCGTGGACCGTGACGTCCACAGGGACGGATGTCATTGCACGAGGTAAAGAGCCCCGCTTGGCGTTAGAAGGAGGCGTGTCCAGATAGAAATCAGGCGGTGCAGAGTAACGGCTACAACGTGTCCTCTGTGTAATGTCATCTTCAGTGCTCACCACAGAGAAACGGCCAATTGTGGTGGAGGTAGCCATGGCGTCAAACTGACCATGGTCCCTAATGTATCCCACAGGGTGCGCCGGTGAGGCAGCGCTGCTCCAGCTCCTTTGCTTCACATCTCGTCTGTTGGCCACTTCAGGGGGAACAGGAGTGATCTGCCAAAAGCACAGAAGAAGAATTCGTATGACATCATGAATGGTGTGAAAGAAGAAAATGGTGCTGAAAAACAGCTCTACCTTCACTTTGAATGTGTGAACATGCTCTCATTCATACCTTAAATCGACCTCTTGCTCCAGAGCATGAAGCAGAGTGAGGAACGTGTCTTCTCGACAGGGACGCTGGAAGGAAAATATCCACAATACTAAAACTGTAGCACTGCAGGAATTAACTCGCATCTCATTTTACTTGGGAGATAATGATGCCGATTATGTTGCGATGTTTGACGTACCACACACAGCTGAATCACTCAGTGCGCTCAAACTGTCCATTCTCTCTGGAATTTGAGGCTTATAGAAGGCAGAGGATACAAACTATTACTCGTTGTCCTTTAAAATACTTGATGAGGAACAGCTAAATAATATTTGTCATTCTCTCTTAGATCAGTTTAGCTGTGCTCCTTTTCTTGAACTCCATTAAAACACTAAAATATATTAAACAGTTCAATTAATATTATTTGGATACAGTACAACACAGTACAAAACATACTTACCAGCTGTTCACCTCCTCTGTAGCGTCCCTCCCCTATTGGCCCTGGGGTGCTGTTTCCTGAGCCTCCTGTTGCGCTGTCTGGACCAGGAGGAGACTGGATGTACTCTGTGCCAGACCCTGGTGTCTCTGCAGCGCTGCCGGATGGATACATGGGAGCATACTCCTGGTAGAGCAAATTCCGTAGTTTCTCATCCAGGGTTTTAATGGTGCTGTCCACAAAGCCGCTACGAGCCAGTCTTCCTTCACCATCGGACTCACTGGGGCCTGCACCATGCTGGGATGGTGCTGGACTCTGTGGTAGTGAGGACACTTTGGTCCCTCCAACAGTGGCAAAAGGCTGATGCAGCACCACAGGTTGCTGTGGTCGCTCGCTCCGTGCTGCAGGGGCGTAGGAGACAGCCGGTGCCTCTTTGACTGATCCTGGCTCCTGGAGCGGAAGAGTAAGCGGAGATCCAACCTGTGAAGTGCTCACATCGAGAGAGAGGGGCATGACCAGAGGGCAGCAGGGCACGTCGTCAGTAATAGAAACCGGGCATGTCATATCAGGCAACTTCTGAGATGCATGGATTGGTGAGATGGAACCGAGAGGGGATCCCTGTGAATCTTCCACAGGGAAAGCAGCATGCGGGGATGATGTTTGTGTTCTGGCTGTCTGGGCTTGCATGCTGTGTTGCATTGAACTGCCTGCTGGCTCCACTGATGGCACTGACTGGAGAGTCGGAGGTGCAGACACAGGAGGTGACAGGGTGGCCAGGAGGAGCGGGTCTGTGTTGGACATTATTGGAGGACTGCAGAATCCATACACGTCATAAGAGAAACCTCCACTTCCCCCAGACATTGTGGAAGATGAACCCTCTTCTGCAAAAGGTTTTTAAAAAGGTAGAATCAAAATTACACAGATTTTTTTTTTTATTTAAAAAAAGGTCTACTTTATTTATTGTGAAATCAGTTTTTGCCCATCTGAGCTGCAGGATGCCTGTCATTGTACTGCCACAAGGTGGTGTTCTTGCTCCTTGAAGCTGCTGGATATTATTAGAAAATTTGCAGTCACCTCTGGAGGGCTTTGCAGTGGTGCTGTCAGCAAGGTGCATAGTGGCTGAGCTCCCAGGTGACTGCGTAGTTGTCCCGTCAGAGGGGGTCTCCTGACTGGATGTGGGTATCTCCTCTACGGGGCAGATTATGAACCATCTCTTCCCTGTATGAAGAACTGGGATGGATTTTTTAAAAGAAGTTATAGTGATGAGGAAAAAGGATTTACCAGACATGCATATGGGTAAATGTTTTTCTAAGAAAAGTGTAATACCATTTTGCTGATAGACTGGTTGAGATCCTCCAGGCTGCTGACTCTACAAAGAAATGTACAGATGAAAGCTAAGTCAGTATGCCAGTTGCTTTGCCATTCTATTTATTTGTCTGAATCCGTGTTTATGAGTATGTCACTGCTAATATCTAAACCTACAGTATTTTCAAGCAATGAGTGTATTTGTTTCTTACCTCTCCTACTAACGCTTCAAATGGCTGGACTTGTAAAGGACTGCAACTCAAAGCTGTGTCCCTTTCACCCTCCATGTCTTCATTCAGCATGTCTTCAGCTTTATCCACAATATCCTTCAGCTGGTCAATAAAGATTTCCTTCTCTAACATCAAGATGAAGCCATTCTCTACCTGTAGATATGCAGTTGTTAAGATGTTAAACAATAATGTAAATATTAAGAAATTATTAAACACAAAGTCTAGATTGTACAAGTCTGGATTAACCATGTAAGTAGCGATTTCCTCGGGAGCGTCTCCATCCAGATCAAATTTAAATGTCACCATTTTGTGGTTGTGAGTCTCCAGCTGGCATTCGACCATTTTATCACCAGTGTTGCAAACCTGTGGGAGCAGTGCTTACACTTTACAATCAGAAAAATAAAAGATTTCAAGAAACTGTACATTCTGACACCACAAATGTCACCAAGACTCACATTGAGCATGCTCAGCTTTGGTTTGCTGGTCTTTTCCTGCCTGGAACGGGCGCGGGCAGACTTGCGGTGATGTTTCCTCGGTTTCCCATCTCCCTTTCCCATACTAGCAAAGCTTTCATAGCCATCACTTGTTTCCTTACCAGATGGTATATCAGACTTGAGACTAAAACGAAAAAGAATATTTTAAGAAAGTTTAGCAATTCACGGCCAAGTGGCACATTTTCCTCACACAAAATTGTAAAAACTACAGAATCTGAAAAGACATAAAATAGATTTTTTTTAAAAACAACAGATACACACCTGTCAAATTCATAACTGGGTAAAGATATTGGTTTTTCCTGAAGCACCTCCTGAAAATAGAAAAATGGGAGTGTAAGAGGACCTCGATGAAGGACCTATAATGGATCACTGGGGGACTAAGCCTTACTGTGGTTAATATATAATGTAATATGGTTAATGTGTGTTGTTACTTCTCAGCATGTTAAACTAAGATTCAGAAGCTGGTGTCATGATGAGACTGATGTATAAAATTTATGTTAATGTAATTTGAAATGAATCCTGCAGTTTGAACGTTCTTTCTGACCAGCGGATACTTTAATACAGTCATGTGAAAAAGAAGGTTTTTACAGAGCTACAGTATATTCAATGAGCCATCATTTGTGGAAGTAGTAATAATGTGAAGTAATTGGTTTCTGTATCCCTTGCTGAGGTTTGCTGGCATTCATTTATGCACGGCTCTCTTCAGGTCCTGCCACAGCATTTCAGTCAGGTTGAGGTCTGCACTTTGGGCCACTGACACATCTTGTCTCTTTCAGCCATTCTGTTGTAGAATTGCTGCTGCATTTGGGATCAATTTCAGCCAGTCTTGAGCTGTCAGGCATATGGCCTCAAATGTGACTCTAGATTACTTTAATATGCAGTGGAGTCCGTGGTCAACTCAATGAATGCTCTGGTTTTGTAGCTGCAAAACAAACACAAATAATCACCCTCCTCCACCATGCTTGACATAGCTGCTATGAATTGCACTGATGTGCTGGCGTATTGTAATCTAAGCGAACCTAAGCTGTGGAGCCATGTTCTTTCATGAACTTTAACACCTGACATGGTTAATAAGGCCTCTGGAGTCTGAGAAGCGGTTTTTTTTTTTTTTTTTTCACAGTTTCTTGGAGCATCGTACGGTCTGATCTTGGGCTGAATTTTCAGAGACGTTAAAAAAAACTCGTAAGACTGTGGCGTTGAGTTACCCCCACACCTAACTGCCTAAACCTCTGCTTTTACAGAGGGGATCACAAGTGCTGATGATCAGTTAATCAAGTTTTCTTTAGAAGCACCTGGTTGGTGTACTTAGTTTTTCATGGATCTCCAAAGAGTTCTGTGAAGAACTTTCTTTTTCACATGACTTTATTTGTCATTTGCAGAGACAATTTTAATCAAGCACAGGTAAATCTTATAGAATTTACATAAGTGTATAAACTGGTATTACTCTGAAATATTCACAGACATTGGATTCATCACTACCTCTGCACAGGGCTCTTGTTGAGGGGTGCTGGATGCACATGCCATGTCTGCAGTTTGCTGAGTTGCAGGCAGGCTGGAACGCTCGGGCATTGAGACTGTTGTCTGGGTGCCAGGAGGCTGCAGAACTGGAGCTGGGACTGAAGTTGTGACAGAAGCTGGAGCGGGAACAGGAGCTGCAGACTGAACTGGTGCTGGCAGGGTGACCGTGTTTGGGCCTGAAACCAAGCCTGGGACTGACATTTCGGGTTTGGATGAAAGTATGCTCACAGAGGAGACTTCTGTTTGCTCCAAAATGGGACCTGATGCTGATACTAGTGGTTGAGCCGGGGCTGAGACTGCAGCTTGAATTGCTGTTGGAACTTGTATTGGGATTGAAGTGGGGGATTTAAGAAGGGTTGTGGTTTGAGGCATAGCTGCGGCCTGAGCTGATACTGGGCCTTGAAGTTGGTTTTGTGCTCCCACTACAGCCAGACTTTGTGCTGGAGGTTGAGTATCAACTTTAGCTGGGATTGGGATTGACGCTGGGGCTGGGACTGTAGAAGCTCCTGCTAAGTCAAGGCCAGCTCCACTAGTTTCTGAATCTGTTCCCCTTCCCCAGAGAGAAGTCTGAACAGTAGGCAAAACTGAGTGAACCGCACCCAAATGCTGAAAGTCTCCCAGAGTGCCATGAGGAGTGAGTGACTGTATCTGAAAGAAAACAAGCACATTTAAAGAATTGTTCATCAGTTAGTTCAAGCACGCTGTGTCTTTGAGTCGCTAAACCCATGCCCAGCAAGCATCACACCCATTCCACCTTAGTATTACAGATTTCCTATGATCCAACCAACCATTACAGTGAGAACTGAGTGAAATATTCACCTGGACAGGCTGCTCAGCCAGACCGTGCTCAGGATTGGGGGCAGGGTATGGGGTGGGTTGTACCTGAGAGAGAGGTAAGGGATGGGTGGAATGGAAACTTAGGTTTGGTTGAGATGTGGAGGGGCTGCCCTGCTGCTGTGGCACTGCTGAGGACATGGACATGGCAAAAAATGGGAGGGGGAATGCCACACTGGCTACATGCTGAGGTGTGGACAGAGGAGTGCCAAGAGTAGACATAGATGGCATGGCAGAATGAGGAATCAGAGGCAGAGAGGGACGGTGGGGTGAACGTGAGTAATAGCTGCTAGACATAGTGGATTCACTGCTGCTGTAGACAGATGGCAGAGGAGCTGGGGAGACGGGGGAAGGCTTGTGGCCCCCTGTTTGAATAACTGCATATGGTGAGGAAAACTGGGAAAGAAAAAGGGAAAATGATATAAAATGAACAAAGATAACCAATAGAAATAACATTCACACAGGCCCCTTATTTATTACTCTACCCTGCCACCTATTATAACATTTTATAGGAAGATTTGTTGTTGTCTTCTCTATGCTAACACAACACACCTGCATGCTGATCTGCAGGGGTAGAAGTGGGGAAGGAGCACTGGAGACTAACTGTGGAAAACTGGTAGCGGTGTCAGGATGACTCAGGTGGGAAGCAGGCTGCTCTGCAGATAACAGCTAAGGAAGGAAATGACATGTTTGGGGTTTTGTTTTTCTTTTTTTCTTTTTTTACTTATTTAGGTTTTTTTTTTACAGTATGAATCTGAAACTGAGAATTAAAACTAATAACTAAACAGTTTAACAGCTTCACTTTGTTACAAGTGAGCTGCAGGGCAGGCAGACTTCAGTTATTCTGCATGCTGCTCTACCTTTGGCAGGATAGCAGCTGGTTGGAGATGGTACTACAGTGAGGAGAGATAAATGTGAAGGAGACACAAACCACATGAACAGCTATTCACATCACACACATATACACAGATATACAGTACAGTGCACATTGGCTATTAAAGGGAAAATCAGATACACTTTTCACCCACCTCACACACAGCACTAGACCTACTTGACTTAAAATGGCCAGCACCACTAAATCAAATGGCAGATTAACTTCCATTATATCGCATGTTTCAGTTTATGATTTAAAAGTTGAAATTGTATTTTTTATATTGCATGTCAAATGACGAGGCCCTGCGAGTCAAGCACGCTAGGACAGGCAGCTGGGTGGGCTCCAATGAGCGACTTTCAAACTGTCGCTTCATAATTCAGATTTTTGGGTCTCACTACAGATGTTGCCAGGGTATTTTAGAGTCAGATGTATGCAGTACCTGCTCCTGGTTGGGCTGGGCAGTGTTCTGTGTCTGTAGAGTTGGGCCTGCAGCTGGAAAGCACTGTCTGCTCTGGTTAGCAGCAGTGGCTGGCGTAGCTGGAGCAGGAACTGTCTGTCAGAAACACATAATGGGAGACCTTCTTTAGGGATAGTAGAACTGTATAATATGTGTTTGTATTTAATACAACAAATGTGGCTCACAGTTTAGTTTGTCAAAGCATTTGTGGTCAATTGCAAGAAAATGGAGAGGGGTGTTTTTTAGCAGCTGGAATTGTTCATCCATTAAAATGGAAACGGGAAGCGGCAGCATTTATCTATCATTGCCCATCCAACATGTTAAGAGAAGCACTTTGAGCGAGTAATTCAGCACTTAATGTTGATTAAGCAGGAGCAAAAACTGGCTGCTAACATACTGGCCAGGGGAGAGAGGCAACTTGCAGGATCAGGAAAGATACAGCAGGCTGCTGCTATGGCATTTCAGGCTATGCAAAGTCTTCTTCTCTAACCCACCAGAGAATTGGCTCTGTCTTTGCTGTGATGTGATGATAACTGCAGGTTCCTAACCACATTTGGAGAACAGTAGAACGGAGCATCCAGGCTCTGGCTCTTGTCTTTATGCTCACCTACTGAAGAACAACAAACCCCAGCCTCCCCATGGTTGTGTAGTGGATGATTAACACCTCTATCAGAGAGGGTGGGGGAGCTGGTCCTGCGACTGACAATGTGATGGAGACAGTAGTTGAGGAGCGTGAGATCTCCACCTTCATACAAACTCCGTGGGAACACATTTTGTGAAGGTGGAGAAAGATGTGAAGGAGAAGCTGCCACGACGGGCTGACAATTTGATGATGTGGTAGTGGGCAGAGAGGGAGGAGACCTTGGCTGATGAAGAGATGTGGGCGAGCTTGGCTTGGAGACTGGAGCAAACTGGGTGGATGTGGTGTCAGTGCATTTGTGTTTGTGTCCCAATGATCCACCTCCTTTTGTCCTGTCCTTGCAGAGGAGAGACATGCAAGCTTTGCAGTGATGGTGATGCCCTGGGCTGCGTGGGACACATGGAGGCAGCTCTGCAGGAGGTTGTAAATTAAGGGGAAGGTGAGGTGAATCGAAATGATTTGCTGAGTCATGATGAGAGTGTTGATGGGGGAGCAAGAAAGGCGATAACAATGATGGCTTCTGGGCAGAGTTAGCATACAAGCAGTTTGTATTGTGCACTCGACTCTCTGTGCTATTTGCCGGAGACACTTCCTGTAACGGACACAAGCAGGGGAGTGGAGTTGTCTTAGTTAGCGATTGCATCCTACACTGTACCATCTCAACCATTGAGGCACTGCCACGCCTAAGACACATAGTACTTTCAGTGATGAGCAGGTTCTCATGGCGTACATAGGGATCACTGTAGTGACGCTGATGAGGTATCATTCCGAAAAAAAGAATAATATTTTCGTTATTTCAGAAAAATATCATTAAGGATATCAGAAAGAGAAAATGAAAATAACATGAAATGCTTTTACTCACTGTTTGACACTGATAAGGCCCCTGGTGCAGTTGTGATGCAGGTTGTTGAAAGGTCCCAGGGTGCAGCTGGCCTGCGGTTTGCTGGTACGCTCCTTGGTGTAACTGCACGGACTGTGCAGTGGACTGCTGGTAAGGCCCCTGGTGCAGCTGAGGGTCAGTCTGTGCAGGAGGACTGTAGATAATCTGAGTTGTGGTAACAGGTTCTTGAAGCGTTGGGTAGGGGCCATTCTGCTGATTGTTTAGCTCATCTAATTGCATTGTGGAGCTCACGCCACTGTCAGCTGTAATAAGAGAGCATGTAAAAGATTATGATTCACCGTGATGCTTTTTGTCCATATGCAGGAAGGACAGACACTCAAAAAGAGAGATTGGGTGTGGGAGACAGTGGAGTAGAATCTCAATAAAATTCAAATGCTAAATTATGTCACGTAATTTGGCATCACTCAGACACTGCAGCAGCCATATGTCTGATTCTCGCTTAGGTTCACGGAAACTATTTTTAGCAACAGTCTGTGTCGTGTGTTTTAACCAGTGTTTGATTTTGTTGACCAATAATTTTTCTTGTAGTTTTAGTCAGTGACAAAAACAAGATGATAACAAATGCGCGAGGAGAAAAACTATCATGACATGTGTTGATACTTTTGTCAGCACATTTCATATGAGCGAGATGAAGACGTTCTGGGAATACGAGATCCAATCAGAGCTAATTACGTTGTGTAGATAGCTAGGATCCAATCAGAAGTAATCTCCTTGTGCAGTAAGGTTAGATACACACATTTAATCTGAGGCGGCTCAGCAGGGAGGGCAGGCTCAGCTATGCTTTCTCACGATAACACAACAAAATATCTCTTAGCAGGAAAAGCAGCAGCATTTCGTATTTGATGTCATGGAAAATAAAATGCTTTGTAAACCATGTGGAGCAACTCTCACTGGTAAAAACACGACAAACTTTTACACTTTATATTTTAGTGAACGGAATCACTTCAGATTTAGTTTGTGATGCTCTTGTGATATTGAATCAACTAAAACTAAAAGAGCTAGATGTTTAAATTCTTAATAAAACTAAAACTGGTCAAAATTGGCTCTTAAAATCAACACTGGTTTTAACTTCAGGTTTTGTGTTAATGCACACATTCACATAATATTCTAATTTCAGTTTCTTACATGTGGTAGATGTGGCAGCGGGGACGGTGCAGATCAGAGTCTGCTGCTCTGACTCTTGGTCTTCATAATCTGTAGTAGCTAATGCAGCTCCCTGTGGCATCCCTGTACTGGGAACCTGCAGGAGGTTCTGCTGAGTTTTCTTCACGGGTGTCTCGCTGTTTCCATTTGGTGAGACAGTCCGCTCCCTCCTCCATTTGATTAGAGCTACACGATCTCTGATGGACTTCCCAACGATCTTCACATCACAATCCAGAAAGAAACCTGAATCCACCTATGGAGGCACAGGCAAGATACTCACTGCAGCTCAGAACTACCCCTCCTGCATTAACAGAAGTTTGCATGAAGAGCGAAAGGTCAAGTGATCAGTTGTCCTAGTTCAGGAGCGTCAAACTCACTTTTTACACCGAGGGCATGTAAAGACTTTTAACTAAACAATTAATAATTACTGTTATGTAATATAAATGGCCAGATGGAGATCTTTACCAACAGGAAAAACGCTAAAATTGATTAAAATACAATTGAAAATTGAAAATTTATGCCCTCCTTTTCCCAAAGCTCTCTAGTGGGCCCGACTATCTTTGCCGAGCTGATTCTTTCCCCCGTGCCTTATGTTTGACACCCCTGCTCCAGTGTCTATGTAGACATAGTCCTGTGGTATCTGAAGCACTTCGCAGTACTGCAAACCAGTAACGCACTCCTTACATCAGACCTACATCAGAAGATGTGTTCCAATGTAATGACTTCCATAACATTATTAGACACTTTGTATATCATTATGCTGATAGCCCAACTACCTCATAACAGGAAATAACAGAAACTGAATTGAAATAGCAAACCACAAAAAAACAAAACAAACAAAACTACTTTTGTTATGGTTAGAGTTTAAATTCATAAACCTAATCTCACTGACGGGCTGTAGGAAGAAGCCAGAGTACCCAGACACAGGGAGAACATACAAACTCTATACAGAAAGGCTCCGGCCAGATGATGGATTCAAATCCAGGTCTTTGTTGCGAGGCAACATTTTAATAGACACCAATGAGAAACATGAACTGGCAAAGCACTGAGAAACAGTGCTTTTTGAAAAAAAATGTCCTTACCATTTCTTGGGCAACAACTTCTGGGACCTCATGGACCAAATCAAAGGTAAACTCAATGGCACCAGTGTCTTTGTATTTTCCTTTCAGTTTTTTAGGATCTTCGACCCACAGCTTTAGAGCGATGGATGCTTTTTTCCCATCATCTTCTTCATTGAGCTCCACCCTCACACCCGTGTCCTCTGCAAAGAAGGCGTGATTCAGGAGGTCCTTGATGGAGTACCTGCAAGAAATACACAAACACTACAGACCTGCACTACATGTCACTGGCACAGTAAAACACAGAGTCAAATAGTGGTATTGACGTCTCTTTGCAGGAGGAGAAACAAAACAACGCAGTGCTAATATAAGAGTCAATCTCTACCCACACAACAATGCGTCATAAGCCAGAGATAGAGGTTCTGGTCCAATTACCTTTCTTCCCATCTGTGACAGATGCACTCCCCGATTATTTCCTTAATTTCTGGGTCGCGGACTTTGCTGTAGCTCGCAGGTTTCACCCCCTAAAAAAAATTTAATCCATGTCTTAGCTTACCAAATGACAGGTTTTAAACAGAAGTACTTGGAGAAATAACAGAAGAAACTTCTGTCTGCGTTGTATAAAATCCTTAAATACAGAGTCTGTTAAACACATTGTCTTTCAGACATATGGGCCCTGGGAAAAAAGGTTTTCAAAAGAAATAGGACAGTTCTCATCTGCCAAATTAAAAGTGTCAGCATTAGCTACATTAGGTAGATACTGTTGTCTATTATAACAGTAATTTAACTAAATTAGTCCGAGGTTTGCCCATGCTCTCAGGGTCCTGTGTTCCAAGCGCTGCAGAACCAGCTAGATGCTTTATTTTTTTCTTCAAAGTTTGACCTGGAACACCACAAAAATACAACAGTGCATCCGTGCAGGCAAAAAAACTCCAACAAAATAAGCAAACCTACATGTAAATTTGACTGTCTTTTGATCACTGCAAATGTGCAGAACAAATCGGATATTGTGGCAGGCTTATAATGAACCCTTCATTCTAAATAAGAACCAAAAAAATTGAGATATAGCTTGGCTTTGTTGTAATCATAGATTGAAAGTTATTATAGCAGCGGCAGGATTTGAACGTGAACTCACGCTGGTCACTTTGCGGTAGATCTGAGCAGCATTTTGACATTCAGAGTAGGGATATTCAGATGTTGCCATCTCCAGCATACACATCCCAAAGGCGTAGACATCCACGGCCTCGTCATAGTGCTCCTCATACATCTCTGGAGCCATGAACTCTGGAGTGCCTGGAAAATTAATGCAAGAGAAGATGATAAATTACAAACTTACTGATGGTTTAATTGAACTCCAGTGGCATCAACAGCAGAACCTGATCAGGCCTGATAAATCGTGAAGAATTTTCTAAACATGACAGTAAAATATAGCAACTTTAAGGTGGTCAAAAAGCTAATAATAAGCCCAAACAATCTCAGTAACTCTACACCAAGTAGGGTTAATGTTTTTTAAAAATGGCCAATGATTCAAAACACTCATTGTGTCACAGCTGGTCGGATCCAGTGACACATAGATATTGAGCTTTTAATGTAATTCTATACTTCACAGAAATTTTTGTTTTGTTACATAAAAAACATAACAGGCACAAAATCCCACACTTAGAAGGAACAAGTTCCCTTATTTTGGTTATGCAGTACACAGATTTACCGTTTACTCCCACCATGATCGTCAGTGTCATTTTTGGTACTGAACACTACCTGCAGCAACAAATAACCCGCTGACACATTTTAGTGTGGGATTGGTGAGTGCAGTGAAATATTTTGCCAAAGATAAAAACAGAGCCAAGAATTAAAAGCAAATGTTTGACTTTGATGCATCAGGTAAAATAATCTCGACTAACAGTGTCTGCACTGCGTTTACAGTTTCTTTCTGCACTGTGAAAATTCCCAAATCATTAAAACAGCAGTTTTTCCAACTGCATGGTAACTAACCAATAACACTTTTAGCAAAAGAGGCTCTCTTTAGAGTCGCCAAGCCCAGGTCTCCGATTTTGACAGAGCCCGTAGGACCAGTGATGAAGATGTTGTCACACTTAAGGTCTCTGTGGATGATCGGAGGAGTTCTAGTGTGGAGGAAGTGGAGGCCTTTGAGAATTTGTCTGCACCAGCTTCTAAGAACTTTAGGCTTCATGACCTTAAAGCGCTTCAGATACCTGTTGGAAGATAAAAAAAAATGTATATATTATTGTGGTAATAGAGAATTTCCAGCTGACAACAAGTAAAAGCTGGCTTTTCAAACATGCTGAATGATAGTTGCTGAAATCACATTTAGAGATCTATCCCCAAGTAACCTCTGCATTTATAAAATATATCCAGTTAGCTGTTCTTCTCTTGCTAATTGTTATTGCCTTCTCTAATGATTGTTCTTTTCTCAAACCAATTTCCTAATTGTGACTGCCTGAAAATCTTTTTCTATTGTGTCCTACCCTCTATTTGGTATTCATTTATTTTGCTAATTACACTTTACGAAGAAAATCCACCCCCTTATTCACATAAATATATCTTTCAGCTTTTGGTTGGATTTCAGCCGTTGATTAGAATGACTAAAATTATGCCATTCAACAGCTTTGGAGGGCAGATTAAAATATAGCAAAAAAGACAAACAAAGGTTATGACAGGAAATATTTTTCTTTTGCCGCTCACGTTTTTAGTGTTCCTGAGGTCATCAGCTCTGTCACCAAAACAATACACTTTTTCCCTTTGACGGGTGATTCCCAGAAGTCATAAAATCGCACAATGTTGGGATGCTGGAGAGCCTTTAGCATTTCTGCTTCCTCTTTGAATCTCTGTCTCTCTGCTTTGGACAGTTTCCGTTCCTGGAAAAATGAAGAAAGAAAATGTTTGTTTGGTTGTTTTTTTTTACTATTATTTATGCATCTACTTCTATAGAGTGTAAAGAAACAGTATTAGTCTCTCTGTCTCTCTTTCTTTCTCTCTCTGTCTTTCTCTACCCACCTCATTTCTTTATATTTTGCTTCCAACAAGCCAGACTTCTAACTTTTCAAAGTGGTCTCAAATAATAGTTCTGCACGTTTTCTGAGGGATTTTCAGCCCAGTCCTGTTTTTCATAGGAATGTTTGCTTGTTTGTTTGTTAAGCCATGTAACACCGACCTATGAATCATTTAATCATAAAAAGGCAACTCAGGGGACTAACTGGTAATGGGTCTACACATAGAAGACAACTTAGCAAAATAACAATTTTAACTTGTGTCTTTAGGCACTTTACTAGCAGCCTGGGACAGAAATACCTATTTTGCACCCATTTCTTTAGTCAAATCTACAAAATAAATAACTAAAAAGATTGCCAAAGATAACACAGTTTGACAGACAAAAAATAGCATCTTTTCTATTAGGTGAAAACTTTGCATATCTCAGCATGTTGTGCAGTGTTTTCTTTACTTTACTTCACTGACAGGTGGAGAATAAAAGAAGAGGTTGCAGGTCTCAAAACCTATCTGCAACAGATGAACAATGTCTGAAAGTCCTGTCTTTAAGAAATGGGGGGAAAAGGCAGCAAAGACCTGACACAGGCCCTGAGAGATGCATCTGGCTCTTCATTTGATTCGTGTACTGTTCACAGATTCCTGAGCAAAAATGGCCTCAGTGGAAGGCCAGGAAATGGAAGGGAAACAGGGAGAAAAGGCTGAGGTATGCCAAATTACACAAGAACTGATGAATGATGATGAGGAAGGAGAGCCATCTGTGAAACACAGTGGAGGCTCTGTCATGGTTTGGGGCTGCGTTTCAGCCAGTGGGGTTGGAGATCCTGTCAAAACTGATGGAATTTCTGTACCATCAGATTTTCTCCACCATGCAATATCACCTGGAATGCATCTGATTAGAAACAGCTTTAGTTTCAACATGACAACTATTTCTTTGAAAGCAAACACATATATAGAAATGCATATATTGAAGCAGTGTGGGATCGTGTTGACAGAGAACAGAACAAAAGGCAGAAACATCCAAAGAAGAACTTTGAATGTCCTTCAAGAAGCCTGGAGAGCTATTCCTGAAGACTGCTTAAAGAAAATACAAGAACGCTTGCCTAACATAGTTCAGACAGTGGTGCAGAATAAAGGTGAACATACCAAACACTGACTTTCAAGCTCATTACTTTTGTACAGCCTCTGTGTTTGCCTTCTATAATGTATTTCCACTTCTGTTTGCAAATGTTTCAATAAGTCGCTGCACCTGTTTCTCATTAAGGACAGATATGCATTCTTCTCAGTTAGAGACGGTAATGGAACAAATATGATTCCTTTGAATATTCCCATTGCTTTAGGATGGGACTCTGCTGCATGTGGCTCATGTTTATAGTGAAAGCAGCTTTGGCATTTTGAGTGGGTATACATGGGGGTCTGAACCAATTACTCTCTTTATTACCACTGTGTAGAAAACACAAAGAACTGCAGCATTCGTGAAATCACATTTTCAAAAGACAGATGAGTAGAAGTCTTGTTTAATCTGTTGCTGTGATACAGAGACAGACCCATCTGTCATGGCAGATAAACGTGAGCTTTAATCACATTTTTAATCATAAATGTCAAACATGCCTCTGGTAAATAATGGAACACAAAAAAAATTCCATTAAGACTTTATAACAGCGAGCTAGGATTTCTTTTTATTTTCCTTTAAATCACAAAGCCACAAAGCATAATGAAAATCCTTGATTTAGGAATAAAATTGTACAAATTTTGAATTTTACGTCTTTACTTATACAAGCCTGAGTGGATTTGTGTATAATGGATCAATATTTTGGCCCCTTTCTTCCCTGAACTGTTGTATAAATAGTAAAACAGCTGACAGCAAACACCCTCCACATTTCAGTTTCTCTCTTGTCAGCACAGCACATCCAACTCAAAGACTATGACAACGCCAAAAACTGCATGACCTCCAGGGTTTCTTTAGAGCCGTCTCCATAGACACATTTCAGCAGAAACCATTCGGGTGCATTTGATGTTTCAAAGGCCAGGGGGTCCACAATAACCTGATGTACATTTCATGCTATTGATTATCGACAAATACCTGAGAATCAGATGTCCTGCAAAGCTCATAGTGATCTATACAGTGCTCAGTCTGAGGTGTCTTATATTACATGCAACACTGTGAAGGATACAGATCCGACTTTCTTTCATAACTCTGATTCTTATCGTGTACAAATATATTACAGTTTGCCTCATCCCCATATCTTCATTGTCCTTTTTTAAAAGCAATTTTCATACAAATTATTAGAAGACGCTTTGAGGGATAAGGTCTCAGCAGGGTGTGGCACCAGGATTGTCTTTACTGAAATATAATTGTGCACAATGAAAAACTAAATAATAAATAATATTAGAAATAAAATATAATGTTGTGGACATAAATCTGGAAATAATATAAACATACAGAACTCTTGGTTTACTGTGTATCAAATACTTCGTATACTATAAGCTGTACTTAGATGAACCCAGCCTTTCCCGTTTCTACTCTCATGGTGCAGAAGGCTGCATCAGCAAGACTCACTCTCCAGACACATCAGTGTGGTAACAGCACGAGGGTATAAATCGCTGTTTGATATTCATTACTAAGCCATCAGACAAAATGTACAACTGTGAGACACACTTCTCAGTGTGGTAAAGTGCTTTGGCATTTTACTAAATTGTGTTAGGCGATTTGCTAATTTCGGGTAAACAACTCGGTCAGCAAACGTTTGATCGCATTTTTGCAGGCAAGTAAGTAGCAAAACTGGCAGCCTGGTTTGCTCAACACCAGGAAAAAAGCTCCACTTCAAATACAATTCATTTCTAATTCATTTCTGATTTCTATGAGCATCTATGTTTTCTGCTGTCTCATTCTTAGTTCTACCTCCGTACGCACACAGTGTACAAACCACACAGGGCATTTGAGTTACAGCAGCTTTTTTTGTGAGTGAGCTACACAGACAGAGCCACTCCGAAGGGCAAGGCCTCATCTCGAGGGACAGAATGGTTGAATCATCACTAGATCTCCCCTAAGAACCTGCTCAGACACCACGCAGATGCAAACACACACGCATGATGCACAAATACACTTACTGTAGAGCTCATCAAACGTGACACACATTCAAAAAGCACACTCTGCTGTGAAATCCAGTTAATTATGCGTTTAAGTGCTTAAAAATATGCCCAGTGGTTGGATTCTCTTCTAACAGACAAGAATGAGCACTGAAGATATGGATAGGTGTACTGATGAGGATCAGAAAACCAAATGCATTTCCTCCAGTATGAGCCATAAAGTTAATCTTAAACAGTAGTGACGCATTGTGGTACGGCCTTGGACAATCGCCGTTCTCACTCTTCAAATGAGATGAAGACACGCTGAATAAATGGGCTACATCAGAACTTCACTTTCATCTACTGAATGCAAATAGAAGCACAATGTAACTACCACTTAATTCTATGAACCTTACAGAGCTAGGCTGTGATTTTTTCATTAGGGAGAAATTCAGTGATTTGTTGGGCCAGACTTGCTGAGATGCCTTCCTACACTTTCTGCAAGAGTATGAGGTGAAATTTTTCCATCTTATATGAAATAATTGTAATTATGATCATTTAAAGCGCACAAAAGGTTTCTAAGATTACGATGAGATGGTGACTCATCATTTTGTGCACTGGCCCCAACGAAATGTCTAAGTCCGCGTGTAATGTGAAAGCCAATTCAGTGACTAAGCATACACCAAGAAGTAGTAGCTATTTAAGTTTAATGAAAAAGATCTGCTGGGAAAAACAAAGATGCTTCTGCTTGTGTTTTGATGCAGAATGTCTTAATACTTAATTTTTTAAATTGTATTCTTATGCCTGCTCATAAATCTGCAGACTGAAAAAGCTTAGCACAATTTGAGCCCTTAAAGGGCAGCCACTGTCTACAGGTCTGTCTGCAGACTAATCTGTATATCACATGGGCAGCATCTAAACTAATCATTAGATTACCACATACACAGATTAGTGATACAGCAAGCTGTCACTCATATGAAACACTGCATCACCCCTTGCTAAAATATAGCCTATAAGCAAATCTGACTAATTAAAGTGCCATTTCAGTTCATCTGCTGACATGGCTGAGTAGGTACAGATGAAATTCAATTCACTTAAGAGTCAATAATGTGCACAGGGGACAAGGAGGATGCAGATTTCCTTTAAATGACATCTTTGTAATCTACTGAATCGGAAATGTGCTGTTACTTCAACTTGGTTTGGAAATAGCAACATCTAGGCTAAGAATTATAAAAATAAAAGCTTGTAAACTGATTGCTGAATTTTAAAAAAGTGAAAAAGTGAAGTTTCTTGTAATATATATATATATATATATATATATGTATGTGTGTGTGTGTGTGTGTGTGCGTGTGTGTGTGTGTGTGTTCACACATAAATCCTGTCATATGTATTGTAAATGCTTGTAACTTCAGCTTTTTTAATCAATCCCACCTAGATACAGAACCATGGCTGTGACCTGGCTGAGCTAATGAGGAAAAGAACCAAAGGCAACAATGTAACACAGCATCCACTGACCCTGCCTGAGAGTTTGGTACATGACTGGCATGTATATGGGTATTTATGTGTAATATAAAGATCTTTGTTATTGTCTTGCTTTTTATTTTTAACCTTCAAATGAGCGAATGAAAAACAATCAATAATGCTGTAGAGCTTTTATAGTCAGCTAATTTGTGTTGGCTGATTGATGTTGGACCTCAGTGATTAGCGAACCCACCTGAAGCTCACACCAGGCCACTTCGACCCAGGTGTCGGTGTCGAGACCTTTATAGACAGTTTTGAAAGACCCTCTCCCCAGCTCGATGTCAAACTTGAGGAAGCGCCCTCCAGGCGAGGTGGCCACAGCCTTCATTCCGGGCTCCTCTTCGTTTTCGTCACTTCCTGCTTTACCTGTGACATCGGAGGGCACGACCTCTGCCTTGGGCTCGCTTTCGCTCCTGCCTCCCTTCTCCTCGTCCGCGTTCACGCTCTCTGTGGCCATGTCTTTCAGGTCCACCTGGCTCTCCGTGCTCGAGGTCTCCTGGAGGCGGGTCGCGTGCAGAACCCGCGCCCGACTCCTGTCAACGATGGTTCGCAGGTCGATGTTGAGTGCCGGGCTGCTGTTGACGAACTCCGGTGTGTCCACCGGCGGCTCTTCGGAGTCTGACAACCACTGGCTCCGCCGAATAAACCTGTGGCGGACCGGCACCTGGTAGTCTGTGGAGGGGTATGAGCTGGGGTCACTTGCTCCACGCAGGGCTGTGTTTTGTATGTTGACATTGTGGTCTGTACCATTCTCATACACAGGCCTGCAAGCATTTGCATTAATGTCCGAGTCCAGATTAGGTGCTGAGGAAAACGTGGATCCCAGTGGCGGATCTTTGCTTGAATCCACCGAATCCATCCCGGTTATGCTGTTAAACACTCACCGGCGACATTGTTTCTGGAGGATGATGAGCCGCTCTCTCGTAGCGGTGGAAGAGTTCGCTGCTTACCTGCAACACTCCAACACGGTGACGCAGTTCGCCAGTTCAGGGTGTATGGCCTTATGTTTTTTGTTTGTTCGGGACACAAAACATCCCCCAAAAAATGTCCAGCGGGGAGGATGCGTGCATTGCTCCTTGCCACCTCACGCCCCGGTGGTCCACCTTGCTGCAGTACAGCACAGAGCAAGGCGACCTAAGCCTGATGTCGCTGTCAGTTTAACCTATGAGCTCACAAAATCCGTTTCGACCACATTGCATAAGATCCTGCGCCTACTATAAAACTGTGATTTGTTCCGCAGACAAATAGCTGTTCTATAGGCCTACAGTGGACAGGCGCGGATGTTTAGACCGTGGCACGCACCGGCTCCTCCAAAGACACATCACGGGACAAGCAAGTGCGCGGCAGTCATCGAGACGGACTCCGGTGGATGCAAATATACAGCAGGTGTTCCGGGTGAAAGTGTGAATCAGCTCCGAGAAGTGTGACCTCAGCATAATTTCATCTATCCTCACACTCCGCACATACTTTTTCCTCTCCTGCGTCGTCCTGAAGCCGAGTGCAGGATGGACACAAGCGCTTATCAGATTATGCTCACTGCGGCACAGCTTGCCCCACGTCGTCGGAGCACCCAGCTCTCAGCGCATCTGTCGTTCCAGCTGATAATACTGTTTTCTTCTTCAATTTCATCTCTTTCAGGTTTGGGGAAACTAGAACATTTCACGGCAACCCACGCCCCTAGCAACAACACGTATCCAATAACTCGGCACGCTTTTAGGCGGCACCTTTACCCTCCCCGGACACAGGCTGTGTGGTCCACACCGCTGTCCGCCCTCATCGTGACGCGCTAAGCCGCCAATGGGAAGATGACTGAAAGCCTACCAACCAAGAGGCACGCTGTGGGTTACCGGATAACACGCACCGGACCCTGTCTTAACAGCAGACTCATCCGGATGGATGACGTGCAGAGAGACCGACACATGAGAACATCTGGTGTATTTCTCGAAGAGCTATCATAGGTTTCAGTCCCCTTAGACATTTTATTTGTGCTTACAGGATTTATTAAACATTTATTAAACAGGGTTAAACGGGGTCTTTTAATCCATATCGTGAAACAAAAATAAACAAATTATAAAAATTAAGTTGGAATTAAGTCAGAAAGGTAGCATATATTAATACATATTTAAGACATTTTCATATTATCTCTGTGACATAAGTATTATTTTCATTATACTAATAAACTACGAAGATCTGATAACAGTCTACATCACATATCTTTAAAGTATTTAAACACTTTTTATGGTGATATCTGAAAGATGTGCGAAATATGTTATTATCTTTATTTAAAAAATAATCTAATATATTTATAATTTTAATCAGGGCATTTGGTATCAGCAAAATTAGTGGAAAAAAATGTTGTCAGCACCTGGGGTACTGACTTTTTGTTTTATATTTTGTGAAGCACTTTGTGATCTTTTTATCTAGAAATGTGCTATATAAATAAAATTTTACTTACTTACTTACCAGAAGCTCAAAACAGAAGTCAGTTTTGGATAAGCTGTTTGGCATTGGCAGGGAAGATTTGAGAAGTTTATAAGGGCCCAGCCCACACACTCAACTCTGCTGCTCAATCCACAAATGCATCTTCCTTACAAGTGTGGCACCATTTAAGGGGAAATAAACAGGCTTTCCAACACTATGAGATGTATTTCCAAGAAGCATTGTTACAACAAAGAAATAATTGACCAAAGTAAAACAGGTGGAAGCTCAGAGGAGGACATAACCAGTTTTTGAGACACCTGATCTGGGGCAAAATGATGACCCCAATATCAATTATGGATACCAAGTATTGTGTAAGGCAGGGCTCTGAAGACGTGGAGCTCTGAGGTTAGGTTTCTCAACTGCTATCTTTTCCCCCTCATTTGTTTCTGTGATGGACTAATCTTGAAGAATCTGTCCTGATTTATTGGTTTGGCAATAACTAGGAACCACTAAATATGGATCTAATGTTATCTGAGTCATGCTGTGAACACAGATATGCTGATGAACGTTTGCAGTTTTAAGGCCATATTCAGAGATGAAGCACCTCCGTTTGGCTTGTGACATTTTTTCTACTCTAAAATCTGGTTTCCTATTTTCTGTGTGATGTAATCAGAGGACCAACTGTCTTGGTGTATGTGGGCAGCATTGTCCTTTTTTCACCCAATTTCTGTATCATCTAAATTGAATTGATAAA